TATTTCCTACCATATGACAACAGACTCAGCAACAAAAACTAGGTGTAGGAGAGTTTTACTAGGAAGCCCATTGCTTGGGAACTGGCTGGCCATCATTTTACTGGTGGTGAGATACTGGGGGTTTTTGTATCACTTGTTTTTCTTTGTTTTGCTTTTCCATTTTCTTCTTTTACTTATTAAACCACTTTAATCTCAAGCCACAGATTTTCTCACTTTTACCCTTCCAGTTCTCCCCCATCTCACTGCAGGGGCAGATGGAGTGAGTGAGCAGCTGTGAGGGGCTCATTGAAATTAACCTGGTTCTATTAAAAACATAAGAGTACTCCACCAGATTTAATACACTGATAAGCAATACAATTTATCCCAATAAATGTATTTTGTATTTAAAGGCAATGCTGTATTACTTTTAGAAGGAGAGTTAGCAGCAGTTAGTATAGAATCATAGAATAGTTAGGGCTGGAAAGGACCTTAAGATCATCTAGTTCCAACCCCCCTGCCATGGGCAGGGACACCAAAGTAGCTGGATGACATTTCAGTGTATCTGAAATTTAGCAGAAGACATCAGTGTTCTACCTTTATTCAGGAAGGCAGGGAAGTAAAACAACTTCTCCCAGTTTCCAACTTCCACTCAGCCTTGCAATTTTAAATTAACTAATTAAATTTGGCATAGAAGGAATAAAATCTGAAATAAAGACAACATGTTCTGGAACCTGTAGAAGAAGCTACTGATATCAAAAGCTGGTTCATCACGTCAGCAATGTATGTTTCCAGCTGCTTTACCAGCAATTCCTCTTGAGCCAAGGTTTAACTTTCCTTACTCACTGTACATAATTTGAGTGCTATTTGCATTTTGTTTAAATAATTTTAAAAGTAAGCCATCACATTTTTAAAGACTAATACATATACAATATGGGCTGCTGACTACAAGATTTTTTCCTACCATGCTTTTTACAGTAGTGTTAAAAACATTTTTCAAGTATAGACTGGAAATTGGTTTTGTTCTGCTATTGTCAGCAAATACCTCTCATTACCTTTCAGTTAGGAGGTAACATTGTACCTGCTGAGAAAACAATTCTAAGGTATCTCCTTGGTGAAAATCTACAAATACTTCACAACATCGGAGGCTACTGAAGGACACATCTTTTCAACAAACAAAGCAGGGACTATCAACCACATTACCTAGCTAATACCACATTAACAGAAAGTAAGAACCAGGCATCCTGGGAAGCAAGAGGTCGTCTTCATCTTACACTAGCACTGCTGTAGAGGAAGAACATTGCCAAGGTGCAGAAGTGGTGGAACCAGATAAAAGACAAAGAGTGCCTGTTTTCTACTATTTGGGAAATCTGTAATGTGGATTGGTAAGTAACATGAAACCTACAGAAATAGGAGCAGACAGGCAGCAGGCAGTCTCACAGGTGCAGCAACATGAAAGGAAGCTCATGGGCCAGCTGGAGAAAGAAGGGCAAAATACTGTCTGGCACATGACCAGTGAGTCAGAGTTAAGAAGAGGCAGTCAGGCTATTTCAGTTTTTTACTTTTTTTTTCCCCAAAGTTTTCTTTCTGCTGAGGGCAAGGAAGTCTGTTTGCTCATACTTAAGGGCAAGATGCCCTTCTTTCTTTGTTTGGGCCATGACATAATTCCTAATGCAGGTAGGCACAGGCTTATAGGCACAATGATGAAAAGCGTATGGAGAAATAATCTATCTACAAATGAGATATTGAAAACTGAGGAAAGGATACTTTTTAATGGGTCTTTTCCATTTTACTGAGAAGACTGCAAGTGGCTAACACTCAGCAGGACTTCAGGAAAACAAATGGACCACATACTTTTAATAGGCACCACAAACACAGGCATGTACACACAATGCTGTGCATTTCTGTAATGTGAATTTCTGCCATGAAGAATTCCTGTCGTATCTGCACTTGGGAAGAGCAGAACATATTGTTTTCTTCCTGGCAAGCTGTGGCAGCTCTTGCTTTGCACAGTTTCCTGAATGACTGCATTAATTTGATAGACTCCACATCAATGGTGTCTCTAAGTAAGATTAAATTACATGCTCCTTCTGTCTGCGTGTTATAGGAGATTACTTTTAGCAGAATCTGAAATGAAGCAATTAGCTGACCATTGATGTAATGAATCCTAATTACTTTGTTTGTACAAACAATAAAGCCAGAATCATTTGTTTAGCAAGGAAGTGTAATTACTCTGAGCACTCAAGAAATAAAATCAAACAGTGCTACCTAGACCTGTAAATAATGAATCTTTGACTTCCTATTTATACTAAGAATGCTCACTGAATATTTTCAGGTAGCTGGGAGCCAACCTTTGAAAGTAACATTTATCAGAGTTATTATTTTGTTGATTATGTTCTTGGGTGTGCTAGGTGCCCTGAATAAATATCCATCTACACTGCACTGTCACTGGCACCTGCTAAAAATTCACTGCAGCCAGTGCAATTTCCTGCAACTGTTTTTTGTTAATCAACAAGAAGTTGCTCACATCACAATCATTAGCCTGTACCACTCCCAAGAGCACCAGTGGCTAGGTGCATGTCCTCAGCAAAGGATGAAAGATCAGAAAAAAAGCACATTACTATACACTGAGCAAACACTCCTCTGCCCAACATTTAGCCATCCAGGCTAGAAATGGAACAAAAGTGGAAGGCTGAGACTGGCTACAGCTGGGTCTTCCTCTTCTCCCTGTTGATCTGCTGCTGCTGCAAAATCTTCACAGCTCTAACAGGAAACAAGCAGAGTCACCGGGGACCTCGTGCTGCAGAAAGCTGAGGTCAGTCCAAAATTACGTGTGATTCTGCAACCTCTGCTAAATTTGTGTGACCCAAAAGCAGGAGGGAGCTGACAAAGTAAGAGATCCCACTGCATGTGAACTGACTTCATGTTGCAACTACAGTGATGCAGCCCCCAACCATGTGTATTTTCTGCAGATATTAATTCCTGATATCACCCATTCTCTCAGGGTAGTTGATGTCCTTCACTATGGTTTTGAAAGGAGATTCAAAACATACAAAAAAACATTTTGCCTAACCTTTCTTTCATTTCTGGCTGCACTTCAGGTGTTAAATATAAACTTAAAATGAACTGCAGAGCCACAAATTCTGCAGCTGATTTGCTTTTCCTCTTCTCTCAGCCTGAACAGTGAACGTTATTTTCTGGTTCTCTTAAGTGGTGATCTACGATCTTATCGCAGTACACACTCACATCCTGATAAACCCCTTAGCCTGAATGAAAAAAAGACACCTCTGCTTATAGCACTTGGATTCTCATTGTCGTGACACTTAAATACAGAATGAATGCTTCAAGCAAAATCATCCTGAAGTGAGCAAGGTGTAAGTGACTGTAATGTGTACTGGCTGAAGGGAAACTGAAAATCACTTGCTGGTACAATAGGAGCTGTTTCCATCATGCTTACAAGGTATTTCAGTTCATTCCCACCCCAAGCTGTTTCTCTTTGTTTATGTTCAGTAGCTGTTAAAAATTCACAGAACACTTTTTTTTTTGGGGCTCTTGCTGTAGGCCTAATTGTCAAGAGGTTGCTGCTTGCCATTATGTTATTCCAGTATCCTCAAAAATTAATGGAAGACTTTAGTTGCTTTCAGAGAAGTTAAGAAGGAATAAATACCACCTGCCCCAAGGCAGTAGGACAGATGAATTAAAAAATGGTATCTAAATGTGCAGTGGAGATGTGCTTCTGCCTTAAGCTTCTCTATTATTTTCCCTACAAACAACCTGACCCAACCAAATCACATGAAAGCAGAGAATTCCTTGGTCGGTCGTCTGGACTATCCTTCTTTGAGGGAAAAGCAGCACTACTAAATGTTTGGCTGCCTCTACACCAATTACTAAATGTCATACTGTTTTTCCAGCCTGAAAAATTCTGGATGACCACCAGGGGTACCGAACAATCAATGCTGAGCCAGACAAACAAGAATATAAACTGAAATTGGTCAGTATTTCATGGGGAAAAATACTGGAGATGCTATTCCACATTTGAGTACCAGAGGAATATCTCACTGAAATAAGGGAAGTCTGATTTCTGGCCATACTACAAGTACACTGTGCTGCATCCTTTAAATACTGGTCTCTTCTAAAGAGATGTTGCAACAGGAGAAATCAAGGGTTTGATTTAGCTTAAGATGATTAAGTGATTATATTCCTGCAACACATTATTCACCCAATCTACTTTGTGTTGGGTAAATAATGCCTTATTCTATTCCTCCTGAAAACAAATGGAAAGTGAGATGACAGTACAAAGTAGAAGCTAACAGTATCTATAAACAAAGCAGATTGTGACAGAGAGAAAAGACTCAGTTCAACACTGCTCAGGTCAACAGTAAACTTGCTGACATTATAAAAATGGAATCAGAAAAGCTGCTTGGGTTTAATAAGAAACTGGCAGCATTTTGGTTTCTTTAAGCTTTTCTTTATCATCTCCTGTACTGCATCCGTTTCTTATGTGATCACTTCCAAAAGAAAATCCTTCACAGGAGGAATTCTGCTGCTTAAAAGTATTTAGTCTAATAACATTAGACAAATCTTTTGACTGTTTCTGGTTTTCTGCATTAGAAGGTGGGCTGAATGATCCAACACAATTTTTTCAGAAGTACCTGAAGTCCCATTTTCAAAATTATTTTAGGCAGTTGACCCCTAAATCCTTTAGAAGCAGACCTGGGCTGTTCCTTAAGTCTGTTCTGAAAAATTAATTTAGTTCATATAGCATATAGATGTGTAAAAACTGAGTTCCCCGACTCTCGCAGGAGATGGGTATTTAGCTTCTATAGCTACAGTAAACGTAGCTCAAGAGTTAAAATGGTGTAATATGTTTCCATTTAAAATATGGGGGAAATAAATTCCTTCTTTAGCAGAGGCACTTAGCAAGCAAATTAATCTCAAGAAACTTTAGAAAAGTTTAAGTTAAACTAATTATCTGCTAGATGCCTGATAAAACATTTTAGCTTAACGATAGGAAACTGTCATACCTTTCTGAATCTGTCTGGTTCTTCAGAAGTTCCAGGACTCTGTTTAAAAAAAAGAGAAAGAAAGAGAAAACCAAAAGCAGCATGAACTTAAGATCCCAGTGGAGCCTATAAATGAGTATTCACCTCACACAGGATGTTTCTTTAAAATTCATGGTCATCTGGACAGGGTGAACCAGCAGAAGAGTTTCGTTTGGGTTTTTTTTGGGTTTTGTTTTGTTTTTTTGTTTTTTTTTTTAATGAACTTCTTAACACACATTAGGCAAAAAGCTGATGTTTTCAGGTTCCTGCCCATTTGAATCACATGAGCAGTTCTACCAGCAATAGCTTTGCCTTTACTGACGCCTATTGACTGCATTTATGCTTACACAAGGTTTTGGTCAACAAAGCAAAATGCATTACAATCAACTGCAAACAGTTCTTCAATATGCTCCTGATTAACAGAGGTCATGCTTATCTTCACCTACACTTTCAAGGATTTGTATTCTAAATAAGCTTTGGATTGGAAGATAAGGTTTCCCAAAGCAGAAAATTTTCAGGAATGTAGAGTTTTAGGTGCCTGAGTTCCGATACCTTCCATACTGAAAGTACCAAATGCATACCTGTAAAGTCTATTCCTCAAGATTATGATATCTTGAAGTTTAACACATATTCAAGTACTTAATTATGTATGTTTACACTAAGAACAAGGAAATTATCTTTAGCATGCCCTGGAACACCTTATATATGGGGATGAATTCTGCCACACTTAGCATGTCTTGTACACAGCTCAGTAACTTCTTTTAATCATTTGATTCTTGCATTAAAATACCTATTCTTTATTTCACGTCAAATCCTTGGCCCATAAAGACAGTTTCAAAAAGGACTAGGTCCTTCTGTGCATAGTTACTTTCTGAGTCAGTTCAGCTAGTGACTATTCTGATCACACTGTCTTCCAGTAGGTGGCAAAAATAATGAACAGTGAATATATTCTTACTGGAGGAACCATTAAATAAAAATTATAATTTGGTGGAGAATACTATGGCTATATTTGTTCTCTCTTTGATAGCATTTACTAGAAAGGGTTTTAATTATGCAGACACATACACACATACTCCTAAATTATGACTAGCAGCATGAAGCAACCTAAAAGGGCAATGGCGAAGATCAGCAACTGTGAATCGAGTGCTGTAACCTACCAGTGTACTCATGGACTCTTTCAGTATAGATTTGTAGAGCATCCACTGGTAACGGAGGTCCTCCAGATCTTCAGAATATTCAGTGACAGGCTGACTATGAAGAAGCTCCTCAAAGAGATGCTGACCATCAGGCACGCGAGACTGCAGCTCCTGCAGGAAAAGACAAGATCAGCAGAAACCCAGAATTCAAGAAGGCCCCACTTTTAAAATCTGGTGTTCAAAAGAACAGTGGTACTAAATCAAACAACTGGGCACTCTGGAATAGTGTATTTTTTTTTTGTTATTAATTTTTTGGCCTGAAACGGTATCAAAAGCTCCACTCCCCTACAGGAAGTGGATTTGTGTTTGTTTAATTGCTTACAGCATCCATTATCATTGCATCTGGCTACACTCAACAAAAAGAGAACATGTGAGGCCAAACACCAGACATCGATTTTGATCAGATTGTTTTAATGTACACCTTTTGCCATATCATGCTGGAAATGTCCAGTCCAACAGCTAGATGTCAGGCTGCTCCCTTCCTACCACTCCAGCTCTAACAGATCTTTCTTACTAGAAGGGGTGAAATACTTGTCCTAAATTCCTGAGCTTCATCTACTCTAAAGTATCCTAAACCAAAGAGTGTAGTGTTTGAGTTTTTGTTTGGTCTTTTGTCTGGTTTGGAGGTTTTTTGGTGGTGGTAGGCTTTTTTTTGTCCTCCTTGTTTTGGAGGGGGAAGGGGAGTTTGTTGGGATTTTGTTGGTTTATGGGTGGGATGTGTGATTTTTGGGTTTGTTTTAATTCTGAAAGAACTGTTTCCATCTTTGTCTCCATCTTAATTCCCTGAAAACTAACCTCCAGTTTGCTCTTGCGTGTTTTAATTTCCTCTGTGGAAGATGAAGCCACATCAAGAATTTTGGTCAGTTTCTTTTTTTCTCCTTGTAACCACTCTTCAAATTCTTGTAGAAGCTTCAAGTAGCTGCTTGTATGTTGCCCTTCTTCAATCCTCTCCTAGGTTACAGAAAAACAGGAACAAAAAAGGCCTTACTGTTAAGTCAGATGTTTCCTCTGAAGGCCTGATTGCAAGATCTTAACCTCCAACACTGTAACCCATAGTATCATAGGAAGCCAATAAAATTGTTCTTGTGAAGCTGATATGAAGTCAGATATAGAGTCCCCTCTCACCTGCTTATGGTTGGGATCTACACCTGAATGATGGAACACAGGTCCAGACATCCATCTAGTGTCTGCAAATTCTATTTTCTTCTTATTATCAACCACTGGTTTACTTAACTGCCACTTCTTGAGAAGACTTGAAAACACAAAATGGGAGACACCAATGTAGTTAAACATGATGAAACATCACATTTTGACTGGGTCTGTGGGGGACACCTAAGGTGAAATAGCACTATTATTATTATTAATAGCACTATGACTATTAAAGTTATTTCCAACATATTTTTAACAAAGTAAGATCAAGACAGGAGTATCTCAAAGCAGCACCAGTCCACATGTTCTGATATTTCCAAGTGTTTTGTTTGCTTTCATTCAGTGGAGTGAGGGAATTAAAAAAATACAACCTTAACAATGTATCTTCACATCTGGTAACAACAGGCAGTACAATGAAGCCTTCCTCAATTTAGTCACTCTATTTTTATGCCTATTTTGACACTATGTATGAATATAATTACACATGTAGCACAGTATTAAATTTTAATACAGTAGCAGTTTGGCATTGCACAGTGAGGTCAAAATAAATTAAGCTCAATAAATATATTAAATTTTATATAAAAACCAGAATTTATTATATAAATATACAGAATCACAGAATCTATAAATGTAACTATATAAATCTAAATATAAATATATTTATTATAATAAATTTGCCAGGTCAGAGAGGATTTGAGCTCTGTTTATCCTCCTGCAGGTTTGAAAAAAGAACAAATCACAGTGCAGATACAGCCTCTTTGGAAATATCTCCAGATCAGAGAGTTAGGAGAACAGATTAGCAGAAGTCAACTGTCTATGTCCTATTTCCTCTGACATAAACTGGTAAGTATCAGGGTTAGCCAGGTCTCAAGGAGGCATTGCCTACACCAAGCATGAAGTAAAGTCAGCTTCACAGACTGCTCTGCCCCCTGGATTCTTTAAAATGGTTTTCTTAAGAGTAATGACTTCCAGTTTACAAAATAATTAAATAAAATTTCATCTTGCTCCTAACATTCTAACATGGCTGCTCATTTTCACAGCACACAGCATAAAGCATCAGCTGTGCCTGGTCATATAGCAGCATACATATCTTACCAACATACCATCCTCATATCCCTTGAAGAGACATGAGGAAATGTCACATGAACACTTACCGAGTTTCCATCTCCTTCAGCAGTCTCCATGATTCCTCCAGCTGATCCAGCTCTGCCTGGACATGGGCAGTCTCCTCTGGGGAAGAATTCTCCATGACTAGCTTTCCATAAGCTTTCACAAGGCACAGCTGGATCTCCTTATCTGGTAAGTCAGCTAGCCATTTCTGAAATGTACAGCCCTTATAGTTACTTCTAGGTATCCTGGGTAAAGCAGAGGCTATGTCAGACTGAAGGCCATGTTCAGTCCAGGACTATGCTGGTTCTGTTGGCACTAGCTAGAACATGCCTAGCAGGGGAAAAAAAAATATGCTGTGGATTCTTGCAAAGAGCCAACATAGGTCAAAGAGCTGATGGCAAAACTTAAAGGGTACAAGCTGTCAATGCACCCCTTCAGTAGCCTTCCCATGAAATATCTTGTCTGTCCCTTGTGAAGAAAAAAGCTGCCAGCTGAAGTAACCCATCAGAGTGAATTGAGCATGCAAAATAGCTTTTTGCTGTGTGGCAGTATCAGCTGTGCAATAGCTCAGCTCAATACAGTATAATGTTAGCTAACAGGGTAATAACGTTCAAGGTATTGATGAGTGCATACAGGCCAAGGTAGGTATTCTCCCAGCCAGGAAACCCTCACCAGAAAAACCCTGCCCTTAATGTCTGAATGCTGCAAGGTGAATAATTAACGTCTTACACCAAGATGTCGTTCTCACCTTAAGGTCTGCCACCTGGCCCTCAGTGTTCTGGTCTCCTTCAGCACCCTGGTAGGGCTCAATCATCTCCGTTGTTAGTATGATCCACTGCTGAAGGTCAGAGAGTTTGTCTTTATATGCACAGTGCTTCTGAATGCGCTCTTCACTCCGTTGTATCATCATCTACAAACAGTAAAAATTTGTCAGTAACTGAACAGACAAAAAAATCCCCAATTTCATTACTGGATCTAATATGTAACTACTGAGAATTTCATGAGCAAGAAGGGAAAAAGAAAAACAAACCGATCTGTTAATGAGACACAGAAAACTTTGTCCTTTAACATCAGTGGCATAGAAAACACCTACAGGAGCCTGCAGGCCTGAATTCAGCCACATGGGGGGGGGGGGGGGGGGGGGGGGGGGCATTAAGCACTAAAATACCTCCCTTCTCAGCTGAAACAGAAAAAAGATTATGTTTGGTTTTTTTAATACTCCAGTCAGTATTAAATATATCTTATACTTCCGGAATCAGAAATCTCCTGAATCAGAAGTTACTGCACAGAATTTTTTTGCAAAAGTCCAGTTCAGCAATAAATAGGATTATTGAGATTGAAACTAGAATTTCACAGTGTGTATTAGGGTAACACTTTATCATACATATTTCCATGGTGACCTGCACAACTAAGGCAATTTTATAAGCTTTTCTTTTGAGACTGCTTTGGAATGGGCTGTCCTTTTATAGCTATGTCTATAAACTACAAAATGCTTCAGGTCAAAACTAGTACTTGCAACTGCAACACTGTTCTTAACTTTTAGGTCACGAAACTATAAAAACCAAACAGTTTGGTATAAAACCACTCTCCAGGAATCTGTGAATAAGCCGAGCACCTCCATGATAATGTAACTATAAGGTCTTTAGATCAGAAATCCCAGGCCCACTCCAGATATGATTTATATAGACGTAAGAACTGTGTGGATGGTATCCTGTCCCAAAGGCAATCACATTACAGATATTCAGAGAATCCTGGAAGAGTTATCAATGTCTTGAATTCAATACCTTCTTCTCTGAAATGAAAATATCCGTCACTCAAAGGATATAACCCCATATGCTTACAGATTTTTAAATATTTTTAAATAGTGGCAACTGAAAACTCCTCAGGCCATGAAAACCTCTTCCTTATGTTACCTTCAGTGCTATCTTCAGGGCCTGGGAGTCAGATGAAAGTTGGTTCATTTTATGCTTCTGGGTGGTATTTGACTGAACAAGCTTCTCTACCTCCTCCATTTGTGCCACAAGCTCTGCCAAGTCATCTTGGATCATCTGCAGAGGAAGATTCCACATGGGTGATATGCTAGGTATGGTATGGACTTTCACAAAATGTATAATAAAAGGTAGTTTCACTTGACAGTATGAAAACAAAAAAAAACAGGAATAATCACTGTCATTAAGAAAACTTACTATTTGGTGCCTAGGAGTAAATGTTTCCAAAAGAAATGGTTGGATGTCCTTCCAACATTACCAGTTGATAACAAAGAAGGTAAGTTGCTGGAAAGCCACCAGAGGAGACAGAGTATAATCAGCTAAGTACTACTAAGAGCTATGGTGATAACACCTCTATGGTCACCACAGGTGAAGTGGCACCATACAGCTGAATCACCATAGCTCACCAGGCCAAAAGGGAAGAGTCACATCCCTTCTCTCTTCCCCTCCTGTTCTTCTCTGCCTTATTCCAGCTATGTAGTCCCACTGCATGCCTTGAATTGGCTCCATTGCACGTTGGACCCTTTGCTGAATCAGTTCAAAACACTAACCAAGCAGAAAATTATAATTTTTTTTTTTCTGATCTTGGCCAGCTCAATCAGCCTGTGGAGTAAACCCAGAATATGTCAAAGCTGTGATGAGGTAAAGAGCAGGAAGGGGGAGGAATGCAGAAGGAGGTAGGCCAATGGGAACTCCCTGCTTTTGAAGGCAGTTAGATTGGTTCAGGTTATCTTTGCAATTTCACTCCCAGTGGGAAGTATCAGGATACAATTTATTTTAGCAATCAAACTAGCCCAGAAAGGTGTAGGACCAACAGCTTCCAGCTGCTTGCTCCTTCCCACAAGCACAATTTGCCAATTCTTCAGCTGCAATGCTTCAATTTCATTTACTCCATACTATGAAATAGATCAAATGAAATAGAGGAGACAAGATATGAATTCCTAATGCTAATAAAATATGAACAAACAAGACCACAATTAACTGAGGATATCACAGTCAAACATTACTGTAATGTACCTGAAGTCTCTGGAGTTGTGTCTTTTTACCCAGGAGGTCAGGTTTCAGTTCCTTCTCTAGATCCAACTTAGCTTTAATGGCAGATAATTTCTTCTGCAAAGGTGCGAAACCAGCATCAAAGTGCTTATGTTGAGGTAGCAAATTGTAGATGGAGAAAGAAGAAAAAAGATACAGCATTCAACATATATCCTTTGGCATTATCTTTTGTCAATGTCCACTTCATACTCAGAACAAACACCAAGCTACGCTATTAACAGACCACAAAATTATTTGAATATTTGATCAACCTAGAAAAACAGACTCAGCACAGCTGGTTAGTACTAAATTTATATTGATGTAACTGGCTGAGTAAAAGATTTATCATTGTCATAAGAGAAGACCATATATGGGCTTTAAAGCTCACCTGGATTGTCTTCTTGCTCTGCATCAGACTTTCATGTATAATTTCTCTCTTCTTTGAAGCTTCAGCTACTTCTTGCAGGAAAGTCTTTGCTTTTTCCTCACCAAGGACATTGTTTAGTAAATCCTTCTTCAGCTGTAATGTCATGAACTTCTCTTTGAAGCGGGAGCTTTCAGCTAGACCAGCCTAAAGGAGAAAGATTCTTCCAGTGAAATCATACCAAAAACATTAAAAATCATACAACTATATTATTCTCACACAAGTCACACAACCAAAGCAGTACAACACAGTTGGGTAAAAAACAGCATGCTGGGCCAACAAGGGGTAACAGAAGGTACCTGGACAGTGCCCAGTTAAAGGAAAAGTCTTCCTGATAATGTTAGAAGCACCAGGGCTGCATCCATTTTGTGAACAGAAATAGAGGAAAGCTGTACTATGGAAAGAGTTTTCTGTGCAGAGGAGAGGCCTAAACAACCAACAGAAAGGACAGCTTGAATGCTTATCCCAAGGATAAACTCCATCCCTGTTCACAGACACATTTAATCTGGAGATCACAGGGATGACAAAGTAACAAAAGCACCTTGCTAGGCACATGCAGAAATCATGCATTATAATCCCACGACTGTATTACTACACAGTTCTTAACAGAGGCCACAGATTTCCCTTCCAGGGAGATCTGGGCTAATGCTAAACAATATTATCATCGTTAAAGGTATCTAACACTTTAATTCAGCCTATTCAGTTGACAACTCCAGTTAACTAAAGGGAAGAAAGTAAGGCATTCTGCTACAGCTAGAGCTAAGTATTGACTTCCATACTTTTGGGGCTCCTGCCATATTGGAAAGGCCCTTCCAGCTGCTTCTGTCCAGCAGCTGTATGCAGGCAGCTGCTGGCAGAGCTTGGGCAAACACAAACCAAGAATCAGTTTCTGAACTTAGTGACAGGTTTGCTACCTCAATGCAAGCCAGTGCTGGCTCTGGAGTCTCCAGGAGCATCTGGACTGATGGCTTCCACCGTTCAAAATCTAGCAGGGGATTTTGGAAGAGTCTTCTCAGTTCAGTTTCTGTATCAGTGCTCATTTTAGATGTCTTGCCTCTAACACTGCAAGGGGAAAGTGAGAGCTGAGAGAAGGATTACAGAGAAATCCAAGTCCAAACATCCTATTCATCAAGGCATGAATTAACCACAATGCTCGTGTGTAAACTGTATCCAATGCAAAAGCTTCAGTCTTTTTTATTGTCTGAGCCTGGTGTCGTGTACTGACAGGTGCTAAGTCAGAGACATACAACAAAACTTCATTTAGACAGCATAAGATGCATTTGTCTTTTGTGCAACTGTGTATCAGGAATTACTTTGCCTTTCTAGCAGACAGCAGTCTCCCCTCATGTGATCTTTCTTGGCTGCTCGCCATCACCAGCGTGATTAAACAAATTATACTATCAGAGTGGCCTCACTGACTGATGGGAGGAACAAGCCAAGAGGGTCTAGAATTTAACTTTAGTTGCCTGCATTGTTTTACATATTATCAAGTTTTTATTCCTTTACAAAATTTCATTAAGAAATCTTTGCTCACCCTATGATACCTACAAAAAGAGGAAAATACATACTTTTTCCAGATATAATTTTTAAAAATTTTGCTGAACCAGTAGTATTTATATTAATATATTATGGGTGATTCTGATAACAAGCTTTGTATTTGTATATATATATATATGTTTACACATGCATGCACAGCTATGCATGCATAAATGTTGAAAAATAAAATAAAAATCAGTGCGCATTCACTAAACATCCAAGCTTCTCCTATAAAGGCTTATCCAAAATACAGATGAATAACAAGGCCTAGCAGTGGCACACCCCATGTAGTTGCCTCCTGGTTTTCTCAGCTTTCCTGACTTCCCAGTTTACGGAATCCTATTTGATATGGCAGAATGCAATCCAAACTATATGCTCACATGCGAACAGTATCACGCAGATTCACAAAACAGGCTGGCAAAAGCAATGCCAATCAAGGTTAATAACGCCTTTCTATAAAATCAAACCCAATAATCTTACCTGTGTCAGTGGGATGTCATGGAGGTAAACAAAGGCAAGCTTGCAGAGGCCAAACGCTCCGCAAATAGAAAGTTCTAACATTACACGTTCTTTGCCATTTGCTCTGCTGCCCCTGCGAGGCTCAGCATGAAGCTGCCAGACTTCGCAAAGAAGCTTTAAAGGAGCTGGCAAAAGAGCAGCTGCCATTTCCTACTCAGAGGCAAGTCCTCTGCCTTCTCTGCTTCTCATTCAACATCATCTACTTGTTAGTTTTTAAACTGAAATTCTTTCCCGTAACGACCTATAATCCCCTTCCAGCAGGACAGTATACTGTGCACTCAACAGAGGAAGATAAGCTTGGATACAGCAAAAAAACTGACCTTTCTTTTTCCTTAAAAAAAAGCTCCTTCCTTCTAGTTTACAAAATTTGCTGCGGCTTCCTTACTTCCCGATTCCAGGCAGCCTGGAAACGGAAATGCTTAAGTCTGGGGAGAGGCTAAACTTTCAGAGTTTCCAACCCAAGGCAAGTTGAAAACAGGAATCATGCACATATGCTGGCAGGAGAAAGAGAATAAACTCTGCCAAATAATTGTTAAGGCTGATGAATCACTACCATAAAGTCAACAAGGGAGTGTCATAATTCTTCTGAACCATTTACTACTACAGCTCTTGTCCTGAATTTCTAGTTGGTGTCATAAAAGGCAAGCAAAATACATAAATTATTATAAAATGCTAAGATGATCAAATTAGCTGCCAACAATCTGATTTTCTTCAAACCATACACAACATTAATGATGCAAGATCATTACTTGAGAATAGCCAACAGCCTACAGCTCCTAGCAAATGACTAAAATTACAGGTTTACTGCAATGTGGAGGCGGATGCAATTAGCAGAAGCCTTTCTTTTCTACCAGTCACCTACAATTGGATGGCACATTACTTTTTTCTTAGGTCCTTGTTAATTTTTTCAGTGTCTGAGAGGCAATTCCTCCCCCCCCCCCCCAACATAATCAGACTTCCCATTACCTTTGATACTGCTGTATTGCAGAGACAACACTCTCAGTGTGTGGCTGCACATCTTGGGAAAACCGTAGCAGTTCCTTAAGCTGAGCCTTCAGTCTCTCGACATTGGACTCTTCTGCAGCCAGAGCTGCTCTTGTTGCCTTTAATCATAAAAACAATTAATAGATTAATGGTCAATGAGAAATTTAACATGAGCCAGCAACGTGCGCTCGCAGCCCAGAAAGCCAACTGTATCCGGGGCTGCAAAAGGAACATGACCAGCAGGTCGAAGGAGGTGATCCTGCTACTCAACTCTGCTCTTGTGACACCTCACTTTGAGTATTGTGTGCAGTTCTGGTGTCCTCAACATAAAAAGGACATGCAACTGTTGGAACAAGTCCAGAGGAGGGCCATGAAGATGATCAGGGGACTGGAGCACCTGCAGTATGAAGACAGGTTGAAAGAGTTGGGGCTGTCCATCCTGGAGAAGAGAAGGCTGCGTGGAGACCTCATAGCAGCCTTCCAGTATCTGAAAGGGGGTTATAACGATGCTGGAAAGGGACTATCCATTAGGGACTGTAGTGACAGGACAAGGGGTAATGGGATCAAACTTAAACAGGGGAAGTTTAGACTGGATATAAGGAAGAAGTTCTTTACTGTAAAAGCTGGTGAGGCACTGGAACGGATTGCCCAGGGAAAACTGTGAATGCTCCATCCCTGGGGGTGTTCCAGGCCAGGCTGGACAGAGCCTTGGGTGAGACGGTTTAGTGTGAGGTGTCCCTGCCCATGGCAGGGGGGTTGGAACCTTTCTAACCCTAACTATTCTATTACACCTCATTTAGTCTCTAGCACATGCGAGAGATAAGAGATAAGGCTGTCTCTCAGGGTATTCACACATACCCGTTCTGCCTTTTTTTTCTGGTTGTATGAAACGGAGACTTTGTTAAAGCAGAAAACATTCTCTGAAACAGTTTTGTTCCTGCAAGCTCTCTCTCCTCTCTTCACAGTGCCTAGCCTCTGCATCTGATCTGCAAGTTTCACTGAATGAATCACAAAGAGGTCCAGTCTCAGCTCACTGACTGCAGTATAAAACATGAGACACGTTTTTGGAGCAGACTTAAGTGCATCTGTTTGCATGAATAGGTCTTTCTCAGACTCATATATACAGCATGTTAATTTTAGGGTGCTTTAGGTCAAGAAACCAACAAAAAAACTATGTAAATATAGCTGGACTGAACCAGTCAGCTTTTTGTGGATCCTTTTTTGCATATACTTTTCCTAGCTAGCCCTCCTGAGTTCTAGACATAAAAATTGCAATGAAAGGCATTTTGAGAAGAGATAATAAATACAAAAACAGTCCTCAAGAGGAAATGAGTGGCAAAAATTCTTATCTACATTATGCATGACAAACTTTTTGCACTCATTTTTGCAACAGATTGATTTTAGTATAAATACTGGATTACTATAAACTTGGGACTTTGTAGGACTAAAGATATCTCTGCAGGAACATACCTTACACAGATGAAAGCAAAATATAGAAATGGTCTTGCCAAATACCCCAAAATAGATGTATATGTGTATGTGAATTTGTATATATGGTCAGACATTATTTTCTTGCCTTTTTTTTTAAGTAGGGCAAATTATATTGTTTGCTCTGTACATGCTCTTTTTGCATGCGGTCCCTTCAAACTCAAGACAAACTCCAACACATTCCAACCCTGCTCCCTCTGTGCTGAGTGAGATAAATGCTAAAATAGTTGATTCCACTGTTGCTATTCACATTTTCCTTGTTCTGTTTCATACACAATCATACTCTTTCCTTACCACCTTTAATCAATGGCACAGGCACTTGTTGTTGGATGTGACTACTCATGCTCAATCTATGGCTGCGTTTGATCCTGCTTGTTTTAGGCATACAAAGGATAACAACTTACATTGCATTTTCTCCACAGGGTTACAAACTCATCTTCAGTCTTTTCCCCTTCCCCAGGCTCTAGGTGATTTTCTAATTTCTGTAGATATTTTCTCAACACCTTGATGTCTGCTTCTAACTGTCTGGCTTGGGACTCATAGGCACTTTCTGACTCCTGGATCTTGAGCAATCTCTCCTCCTCCTCACTATGCAGCAATTTCAACTTCTCCAAGGCTTTTCTTAGCATTTCAAGTTCATCCTTCATTCTCTCAGCTCCAAGTGGGGAGGTATTCTCAGTCACATTTGCACACTCATTTTCAAGTTGGTCTAATTTCTTTCCACCGCTCCTAATGTTTTTGGCAATTTCCTGCAGAAAGAAGTTAAAGATTAGCTGCAGGGATGGGAAATTGGGGGAAAAGCTGAAAACAGTAGAGAAAAAGACTGCAACTCCTGATTGTACATATTTTGTTCTTCCCTTCTTATTACAAAGTATGTCTCCTTTCAAGTGACCAGAAACCAGGGCTGGTAATTCGCTTGCTTTCTGAGTACTACTAACTGCCACAATTCTGAAAATATTGGCTTGATTTTCATAAATGCTTGTCATCTGAGGTCTCTGACAAAGATAGCAGGAGCTACAGGCACTAAGGAATTCTTACAGTCAGATCTCTGAGAGATTTAAAGCTAAAGAGTATAGGCAGTGGCACCAAAATATCGGATACTGTTCTCAAAACTGGTATGAGTATCACCAGCTCTGAACTCTCAAAACCCATGAGCCTTCAGGCTTTATTTGGATCATGATTACCAAATATCACTCATTTAAACAAGTTTAAAGGGCAATATTCTCAAAGAATCGCATAACCATAGGAGATGAGGCTTTATGAAGAACAAAATAGACTAGCCTGTGACTTCACAGTTGGAAGAACCATATTTACTAACAGTTTTAGGACCTGATACAACTCTTCTTCCAGCCCATGTTAAAATCACTCCTTATTTCATTTGTGCAATTCTTTTCTCAAATGTTACTGTCCTTGAACAGGCAGAGGTCACCAGTATTGAGGCCATATTGCTGAAATTGCAGCTGCGCTGGTCAGGGCACATCTCTAGGATGAAGGATCACCGCCTCCCTAAGATCGTGTTTTACAGTGAAATAGCCACCAGCTGCCGCAAGAGAAGTGCCCCAAAGAGGAGATATAAGGACTCCCTGAAACAATACCTTAGTCTTGGCCATATTGACTACCATCAGTGGTCCACCTTGGCCTCCAATTGGGAGCCTTGGAGACACACCATACATAATACCGTTGACTCCTTTGAGAACTCACACAGAACTAGTCTCAAGGAGAAAAGACAACATAGAAAAATCGCGCCCCACCTATACCACCCAAGGAGACCTTTTACTGTGCTTTTTGCAGCTGGATTTGCCTATCTCACATTGGCCTTTTTAGTCACCAGCGCGCTTGTAGTAAGTGTGGGTAAAGCCCTTCTCAAATCTTTGTTCGCGAAGTCAAGCCATGAATGAATTCTTTTCTCAAGTACACTCTTGTGTGGTTTGAGAAACATATAAGGGCATAAAGAAAGAACACACAATCCTAGCTCCTTGTTAGAATTATACTTTTAAGGACCTTCAGTGCCTTTAACTTGTCCTCTGCCGAATACTCGGTTGCTTCTCCAATGCAGGAGTTTAATCTTTCCGTCACACCATTCAGCCATGATTGAAACCAGTTGACATTAGCGCTGTACTGCTCATGTTCCTTGGTTATCTTTTTAAGCAGGTTCACTCTGTTCTGTAACAAGACACATCACAAGCTGTAAGGACAGTGATTATCTGGCTCTTTTTCCTTTACATTGTAACACAGAATCTATAAACAAGAGTCCCTTTCCATAAGCCCTGACAGCACTTGGCCTCCAGAAGAATTCAGAATTCATCTCAAGAAACAGAACACAAAAGTATGTAAAAGCTTGTCCCCATTTGGGTCATGCTGTAGGCTTTCAATGGCTAGTCTCCAGTAAGACAAATTGCAAGGTCCTCTCAGGTGAATTTCTAAACTCTCCTTTCCAAAATTTCCTAGCATCTCACTAGAAAAAGAGAGAGAAGTCAGTTTATGGTTTTTACCTTATTTTTTACTTACTTTTTTACTTTTACCAAGCAGTTGTTGCCCATACTGGTTAAAAATAAAGATGAGCACACAACAGACTTACTTTGCCCATCTCTCAAAATGAAAATAAGAGAGACTCTACTAGGGGCATGTGTACACATTGTTTTAAACTGTTCTTTATTTAAGTAGGCTCTACAGAAAGTGACCATCTACTTTTACGTAGACTGGGAACTTCCATACTTGTTCAACTAGCAGATTACAAACTATCCTGTGATGATATCACAGACCCTGGAAGCAACTTTAAGCCTATGGGAAGCAAGTTTCATTTTCTGAGTTACTGAGTGTGCACCCTTTAACCAACAATTCCTGAAGTTACAGGGGCTGAGTTGCTCTCTGCTGATCTGCTCTGGCATCCTTGCAACAAGACAAGAGTCACATTTACCTAGGCTATCCCTGTTTGTCAGCTGAAGCTTAGGTCTTGCTGAAGAAAATTTTACACAAATCACAGATATTCCTGCTCTACTGTTTCACTAGTATAATATCTAACGTGAATATTACTTCCTATGAAATCAGAATTTTTTCTTGCCCTTCACCAGTTGGCATGGAGAGCAACTGAGGTACACTATGGTACATTAGTAAAAAATTGTTCCTTGTGCTATCCATTTAGTGCTTGCAGCATTCCTGAAAGGCTTTGCTGTTACACACAACAGGTTGAGTTTCATTTTGCATAATATGGGACACATCCCATGCCTCTGAGCTTCACTCTAGCTGCCCTCCACAGAGAGCAGGGTGATAGCTGCAATGGTGGACAGAATTTCAAGCCCACTCTGCATTTCCCTTGTCTCTGTGAGGCTCTGGGCATGTCATCACATCTGTCAACTCTCCTTAGGTGGCAGTGGACTATTGCCATTCTGTCAACATCTCTTCATCCAGGCCAATAGAAAGGCAGCATGAACATCAGTCACCATGGGATCTCCCATATGCTGTGGTGTGGCAGTCCATATGGGACTTTGCCCTTCCTCTTTGTGACAGGTTATGCCTGTGGTGCAGTACAAAGCCACAAATGCGTGGCATAATACCAGCCTGTTTTCCACACTGCCACTGCAATCTCCACTGACTGGTACAAATCCAGAGTAACTCCCTTAGTTGACTTGCCTTGGTACAAAAGAGGGACAGCTAAGGGACAACTGATTCCCATGAAGGATGAAATACTGCCCACTTATTAGAACCTTAATAGCACCATTTATGCAAACATGGGTTTAGATGAGACCAAAAAGCAGAATTATGACTGCAGACTTCTGTGGCTAAGGTGCATATAGCAAAACACCTCACATGTTTGCTACATCCCCTTGCCTTGATTCTCAAATCTGCAGAAGTGCATACAGGTTAAACAATCTGAACCTTGACCTCATGTTAGGGAGGTCAATTTTATAGCAGTGTAAATGGGCCAAACAGAGAAGAATGCAATTTTATAGCAGTGTAAATGGGCCAGAGAAGTGAAACAAGTCAGTCCAAGCTTATGCATTCCAAGGAATCAGGTTGATTTGTTGCACTGACAGAAGCTCCAAAGGGAGGAGGTCAGGATAACAAAGTGGAGCTAAACTCGAAAGTCTTACATTAATAAATAAAGGGTTAAAAAGGAAGTCGAAATGACTCACCCCTGCCCAGGCTACTCAGCCAAAACAAAGGAGTGCACAGTTTGGACACTGCTGCTGGTCTGTGAGGTAAAGGAAGAGATGCCATGGATCTAGGCAGACTGCGCTAGCTGTCAAAAAAACAGGCTTACAAAGAGCTGTCTGGGTCCCACCAGCTCCCCCAAGAGGTTAGGCAGGGAAACTTTCTAATGATGGAAAATACAGTATCACTTCTGTCAGATTTGCTGATCAGGGAGCAGGACAGTGTTAAACTCAGTCTCACATGCATTTAGTTAACGTGAGGAGACATTAAGCAAGCACATGGCCCTGGAAAGACAGAGCAGTGACAGGAAATTAATGGGTTTGCCATGAGCTGCAGAGGAAGAGGTGTGTCTGGGCAGGATATGTCCAGCCCTGGGTACTCAAGGAGGGTGGACAGAGGCAGAGGAAACAGTCTCCCCTAACATCTCCTTTAAAGCCAAACGAGCCTCTGTTGGAAGGCAATCTAGAGAATGTAAAGGAAGTTCCTGCTCCAAATTCATCTGTGGCATCTAAAGCAAAGCACTTCTGTCCTCTCAGAAATCTCCTGTACTCTGGGACAAGTCCAGAGGAAGGCCATGAGGATGATCGGGGGAATGGAGCACCTCCAGTATGAAGACAGGTTGAGAAAGTTGGGGCTGTTCCACCTGGAGAAGAGAAGGCTGTGTGGAGGCCTCATAGCAGACTTCCAGTATCTGAAAGGGGGTTATAAGGATGCTGGAAAGGGACTCTTCATTAGGGACTGTAGTGAAAGGACAAGGGGTAATGGGTTAAAACGTACACAGGGTAAGTTTAGATTGGATATAAGGAAGAAGTTCTTTCCTGTAAAAGCTGGTGAGGCACTGGAATGGGTTGCCCATCCCTGTGAATGCCCCATCCCTGGTGGTGTTCAAGGCTGGGCTGGACAGAGCCCTGGGTGACATGGTTTAGTGTGAAGTGTCCCTGCCCATGGCAGGGGGGTTGGAACTAGATGATCTTAAGGTCCTTTCCAACCCTAACTATTCTATGATTCTATGAAAGCAGAGCACTTCGGTACTCAGAAATCTCCTGTAGTACTTCCTGGTGCTTTTAATCTTAGCTCTAGGGTACATGAGGGTTGGCATTATAAATATATAGGTTTCAGTTAAGAGATAACACAGACTGAAATTCATTTGTTGTGCTCAGACATATTTGATATATTTGACTAAATATGAACATATGGTATATCATAACTTTTCTTACCATCTTCAGTTACTATTTATGCTAAAACCCACAACCATCTACCTCTGCATACTGTTATTTTACTAGGCAAGGGAAAGCACACAGGAAATGGCTTCCACATTTAATATTCTTGTCAATGTAATTAAAAGCAAATTATGCGCTTTTAAAATTTGGGAATGATAAGGACACATGTTAGCACTAAGGAAAAAAAAAACAGCCTCCACCATTTGCTCATACCAGAGAAGTAATGCCACAGGCAAACCATTCAAGAAACATTGTCCAAGAGCCTGCCTTTTGATAGAGCTGGACAACTGCACGGGATCTAAAAACGCTCTTCAAACAGAAGTGCAGTCTACAAACACCAGTGAGCCTCCTCTGGGAGGCAACTCAGGCATTTAGCTGGCATCTGCTAGTCACATTTAGCCTGGCCTCTCATCATGTGGGGGGCCTGAACAACCCCCTTACAACTCTTTTTTCTCTTCCATTCATTCCTCCCTCCTGTTGGAAGAGGTAGCAGGGTTTCTCTAACAAGTGTTGTGCTTTCCAACATGATTCCCAAGGTGCCCATAACCTTGGCATTAGCTAATGAACTCTACATCTACTTCAGCTGCAAAATCCAAGGCTTTCCAACTCTTTGTTCCATACCTCCTGAAAGAGGGATTTCTTAGCTGGATTCTCTCAATTCTTCTATGAAATGTGGTATTTGTAACCAATGCCAAAGAAAAGCTTTTCCTAGTGTCTCAGTTAGCAGGAGACATAAAGACATATTTTGTCTAAGCACTATGAGCCACTTCCGGATCTTATTTACAACAGCATGTATCCAAGTCAGTTAGAGAAATTATACTACGTAAAACCAGTCTCAAAGAGGTCACATTCTGGCTCTCAGTATTCAAATGACTTGTTTGAAAGAACAGGCTTATTAAACTACTTAAGGACTGTCTCCTGCTTCAAAACCAAAGACAAATCCTGATTAGAAGGGAGTAAATGAGAATTTTAAATGGCAATCTAGATAAACAACACCTGAATTCCCAGGAACTTTCTTATTTGTAAATCCAGTTGCCTTGTAATCAAGAGATCTACCTTTAAATCAGCATTGGGGCTCAGGTCTGTCAGTGGTTTTACAGCCTTTCTGTGCAGTTACAGCATTTCCAAACATACTCTGTTTTTTGGAGAGACTTACTAAGAGTTTTATCTTTATGGCTAAAAAATACCTGAATTTTATGCTCACAGAAGGTGCCAGCTCAGGAGGTTTTTCACTGTTTTGGGGTTCAGGCTATTTTACTTTAAAAGTATGTGTAGAGTAAGCAAAGCAATGGCACGAGCATCCCAATGTGGTGCTCTTCCAGTGTTATCTGAAGCTAACTTTGTACAACAGCACCCAGGGGGTGAAAGCATACATCACTGTCAGGTTTCAGTTCTGGACTGGGGTGTAGGTGTGGGAACAAATAAAAAGCAACATTATGACAGGCAGATAGCAGAACCAATGTAATGAAAATTACCTGTATTTGCACCAGGTAATTCCAGCCTATGGAATTCCTGGAAGTCACTGTGAGACAAAGACTAGATTTTGATCTCCAAATGCTTGGGATAGATGTCTCTATCTATTTCAGATATCCTTTTGAAGATTTCTATTGATATAAGCTAGTAAAAAACCAAATACCCCTCACTCACAAATATCTGCTCCTCAGCCATGCCACGTGGTCCAATCCTGTCTTTACCCAAGTTTTAGAAGTGAAAAGTATGAGCCTTACCTGGAATCTTTGCCCAGCAACAGGATTAAAGGAAATCACTGGCACTGAAATATGAACCAGGATGTCTTACACCAGGGTATCTAATAACTGTTCAAGCTGGAAGGTTAGCATCAGGCAAGAATTAGTATCTGTGTGCAATGAAAATCTTTCAGATTATTGGAACTGGCTAGTTGAGCTCAGTGTTGAGCCACAGCTGATTACCAGCTCAGTGTTTCCCAGTTCTGCAGACAGGGAGTGCAACTCAGGATCTGGACTAATGCTACTTCCTCCAACAAGGGTGTGTGCATGCAATATTCCCTGGCTCCGGGAACGGGTACTTTTCATCTGGTTATACAAAAATTCACTAACGTGTTGAAAGATGAGGAACAATTCAAAATTTATACAGATTACCTAACTGATATTCACTAGGTCAAAGCAAGAAGCTTGCAGTTACTTTACAACAATATTACTATAAAGCACAGTGTAACAGCATCACAATCAAAAGGTTATCTTGGGACATGATGACTTTTGCAAACAGTCCACTGACTAAAAGAACAGGGGTGCTCAGTTCTGTTTCTTTTTGCAGTCCTACCAGGTTAGCCACATCACTCAAGAAGCAGACGGCAAACAATACTGTGTATTGGTGAAAACTGAACACCTCCCACTCTTTATAGGTGTACCTCAGCTTGCTCCCTGATTTTTTCATATTCCATCTTCATTTTCTTCTGAACATCCTCATCAACACTGGAGTCACCTATCCTGCTGAACAAGGAAGCAGCTTCCTCTAGCAGTCTTTCCAGCAGGACTGACTGATTTAAGACATCATTCAGCAGAACCTGAGCGTGGCTCAGCTGCCACTGCTTCTCCTTTAAGCCAAGCTGCAACTCAATGTCAGGCTCCAAGGTCACACTCATGTTGTGAATCCATGTGTAAAACTCATCTTGGGCTTTCAGGTATTCATTCCAGTGCAGCCACACCCACTCAATACGGCTGTTGGGAACAGCAAGAGAGATGAGTTAGATGAAATTATGATGGGCGCAGTTGAGATTGGCAAACTCATAAAGCCTTCAGAGCAAAGGACACGGTTCTCAGCAATTTTAAGCTGCTCTGACCTCAGAGGGTCCAAATTCATTTCTCAGGGCCTCTCTGCTCTGTGGAGAAAATATGTTGTACAGGGCCTCTGTGCCTGGCCAAACTCATCATTCCCAGCCACAAGGTGGACTGGGCTGTGAAAGCAGAGAGCACTGAGGACCCACTGACCCTCTCTTCCCACACCGTTCCACAACATGCTTGTGGGACTGGGATTAGCAGTGATTGCTATCTACAATCCAGGCATCAGAGAGAGAGAGGAAGCACGTTATGAAAGTGCTGGATGAGACAATTCCCTCAATATAACAGAAAGTACGTTTGTCTTACCTGTGACAGTGAGTAATGTATATGGCTGTCTCTTCCCACAAGGCTTTAATGTCTTTCAGTTTAGACAGTATCTCATGCTTCTTATCCTCACTGATCCTGCGAAGGGCAGCATCTGCCTTCACAAGAATCAAGTCAATTTTCAAGCTGCCTTCAGGTTCCAGTGCACGTATTTTCTATAAGAAAAACAAACAGGACTGAAAGCATGAAAAGAAAGCAAGTATAAATTGACGAAACTTAAACTTTGGGTTTACCCAGGAATCCTGAAGTCTCTGCTGCAAAACTTCTCCTGAAAGGAAAGTATGAACTTTTCTTCAGATTTGTTTATTCTTAAGCATCATAAAGGACTGAAATTAATTTAAAACCATGTAGCAGTTGAAAAATATTTAACTGCAAAACCCAGGTCACTGTCTATCAAATATCTGTGGCTGTATTTCCATTGTTGTTACAGCGTTATAGCACTATGTTGCCTCATGTCAGTTGTTCTCTCCCACCTGCCAGAATGTAGAAGCAATCTCCACAGGGGCACACTGCATCATCTCAGTTTTAAAGTCTCCTATAAAAATCATGAAACATTAAAAAGGCTTCCTACTGCAAATAGAAGTTGGCTTAGAAAACAAGCCAAGAGAAATTAAGTAGTGGAATTTTCTGCCTGCTACCAAATTTTGCATTGACCCTAAATTGCTAAGTTATGAATTGGTGAAAACATGCATCTTACATCAATTGGAATGCCAGGAACTGAAAGTTAATCCATCTAATTTTACGTACACTCTTCTCCTCTACCCGGAGATGGAAAATTAGCACAAGCTCTGTACAATGCAACAGATTAATCAGGTCCCAATTTGGATGTCAGCTTTCAGCATCACTTTATCCAAACTTCTAATACGATCAGATTACCTTTTTTTGCTCCTCTTTCACAAACTCCTGGCAAGCTGTACTTTCAAGTTTGAAGGAAAAGACTTCTATAATTAGAACACTGAGAGGTTCAAAATCAGCAGGTTTTGGAAAGATTAGGCCTATGGGATTTGTTCAAAAAGATCATGACAGTTATTGCAAAGCTCAGACCAAATCACAGGCCTTTGATTTCCAGTTTCACATTCTAGGAAAAAACTGTTCTTCTGGCATGTACACAGCACATCTGCATGTGATGCTCAAACCAGTATCTGGATGAACTACCTACTATGAAAAGTGTGATTAAAAGAATCCAGGAAAGCAGGGCAAAGGGTAGGGAAGAGAACGAAAATAAATGCCATGGCTATCACCTGACAGGAAAAATTTAGGAGTAAAGCTGTATTCCAAGCTTGATATTTTTCCAACAGGTTAAAGCAAATATCAGCCAGAGAGAAAGCAGTGGCTGTACACTTTTCAAATCTGTTTCTTAAATGACTGCTATCTTTGGCTGGCATTTCATCAATGAATTAACAGAAAATAAACCACAGGAAGGAAGCATTAAAAAAAAAAGAAAAAAAAGAGAAAAAGCAAACCAGATGTAAAAATGGTAAAAATCGCTACATTTGAAAACAGCCAATAGGCAAAGCAGCAAGCACATCATGAGGACATGTGAGCTGGACAGGGAAGCCAGGCCCAGAAAGGAGGCAGGATGAGGGAGCTGGAAGCGGATAAGGTAAAGACAGGAAGAGAGGACACTTGCTACTCTTTAGAATTATGAATTCCCAAAGTCTGAATTGAAAACAATCTTCTAACATGATTTTTTGCATGTTTAAGGCCTCCTCCAAAGCCCACGGAAGTCAACAGGCTTCAGTTCAGGCCATATTAAAATCACCACAGATCTCAAAACCTTACACCTTGTTCTTTCTGCCATGAATGCACCCCTTTTGCCAAACTACCACTCTCCTACTCAAGTTTCCGTGTTTCTTGCATATTTTTTGAGACTGCAAATATCAGTTTCCCAGACAGAAGAAATGAGTGAAAATCATTTAAGAGCAGAAATAAATCTATAGACCAAGAGGAAATACTTCAGATTTTTTATAACTGACATGTAAGTCTAGCCATCATCCATCACTCCTACAAGTCTCTACATTATGAGAGAGGCAAGATCCAGTGTTCAATGAGCCACAGTTAAGGAAAAAGGCTGAAGACATGTAAGCCTCCAATGTGGATCTTTCTGGAGTTTTTAAACCTCAGAAGAGAGAGTTCAAACACGAGACGACACACAAAAAGAAAGACTTCAGGGTAATGATGAGAAAGATTTGCCATTTATTGTAAAGAACATACTAGTTTCAATTAAAGGTAATACAAGTATAAAAATAGTTTCAATGTTAATCACAGACATACCACCACCACTCCCTCATGAATGGTTAAGATGGGACAAACAAGATTGTTTCCTTCTCTGAGATTATGAGACCAAGATAACATCTAATGAAACTGAAGTTAATGAATGTGAAGTCACAGTAAGAAAGCAGGCACAATCTGCAATGGGATCTCTATGAGAAGAGTTATATAAGAGTCTAAGTAAAATCAAAAAAAAAAAAGAAAACATTTACCTTTTCATTAGACAGATTATTAAGGGGACCTGTAACCCCTTTAATCATCAGGGTTTATGGAAAAAGACAGGGGGATTACTCTAGAACTGCCCATTACCAGGACACTGCAATCTTCCTCCATCAGTGCCAGAGTCCTGGAGGAGATGGAACGCTAACATGATCTAGTTCTCTCAGACTATATGCTGGACTTCTGCAAATCACTCGTAATTGCAAGCAGCAACGCAGCTGTTTCAGATTTAAGCATGATCATAGGACAGTGTAAACATTTTAACCTGCCAAACCTGCTGCTAGTTTTCCAAATCAATCTGAAAAGCTTGGAAGCCTGTGATATCAAATTGCCATCCTCTTTTTCTACGATGTCTGTAAACATTTTGCAGATGGAAAAATTAGGGTTAATACAGATGTAAACCCATCCACACAGGACAAATATTCTAGCAAGCAGGGGCAACTAACAGTTTTCCAGCTAACACAGAGTTCACAGCAATAAATGCTGTAACAACAGTAGCAGTGACAGCCACCTCTGAAACACTACATCACTCTTCCCTTACCTCAGTCTCTCTCAATCTGGCTTCTAGGGCAGATCGAGGTCCCTTGGTGTTGTCATTGATACTCAGTCTCTCTTGGATGGCCTTCATCCACGCTTCTGCATTCTCCACACTACTGTCAAATTCATCCTGTAGCTGCTGAGTCATTGCATTTGAAGAAGCTGAAAGGATAAGAAACAGGAAAAGTAAGTAGGTTTTGGTTAAGACCTAAGCAGGAATGAATTCAAGGCAATGTAAAGAAGCAGGGGAGAAAACCTAATGATGTCGTGGGTTTCCTTTTTAACAATAATACCAAAAAATTTAGCAGTATCACAATTCAGTCGAGCACAGAGAAAACACAGACACTGCAGCTTTCCCAAATGAAAATATACCAGGAAACAAAAAGAAGGTAGAGAACTGTGGGAGGCTCCACTACAGTAAACAGATTTAATTCAAGGCTTTCAAATGAGATTAATCTGGTGTTTGTGGTATATTCCAGATTGGCTACACCAATCACAAACACTTAATGTTTCTTCCCAGAGTCTAGTCAGTGCAAATTCTCCCTATGCCCTTCCAGGCGCATGTACTGAGCACCTAATACCAGACTAGCAAAGCAATTCAGCACATGCTTAACTTAAAGGTATATAAACCTTTAAAGCTGGTGAGATCAGGATCAGATGCTTAGGCCCTCAGTTAACTGGTTCTGCTGAGACCACACACAGGTTATCTGAATGCAAATGCAGCGAGTCTGGGACACATAGACAACAAGAACCGGCCAGCAACTGCCAAAACCAACCACTCACAAACTGTCACATGGGAATATCAGCACTGATGGACTCTTTCTTTTGCCACCTCTTTCATTCTATACCAAGACACAAGCTTTTCATTTTCCCCTCCCTCTCTTGTTGCCCCTTCCCAGTCAGCAGGAGGGTATAATGCTCTGTTGCTCTGCTTTTGTGCATTCTCTCTTTAGAACATAAGCCCTCTGTTGCCCAAATGGCCTCCTTTGTGAGTGTACAATAGAAGACAGCCATCCTATGCACACCCTTAGGAACTACCACACCAAACTAATAAGGATGAACCATAACAAAGCCCCCTGTAGGTCAGCTCCACTGAAGTTAACAGGAAGATAGCCATTGATATTAAGTGGGTTTGAATCACATCCTACAAATACCACCAGCCAACCCATCAGTGTCTCTTGTAAATTATTCTTCCTCTTTTTTATTCATGACTAAAACATTTTTTTGCAGCACAAAGTCTGAGACTTAATTACTGAACCCAAGTTTGTTGTGCAGAATTCAGTTCCACAGCAGCCCCCTCAGTTTCTATGAAACTTATTCATGTGGAATAAAGAGCTCAGTGAGATAGGCAGAACACAGCTCTTGGCAAATCTAGACCACTGGTGTTTTGTAACCACTTTAACTCTTGGCAGCTTAGACTTTACAAGGGAGAGCCATCCTTCTTCTGCCCACTTCCCACCATCCTGCCAATGTTCCTGTTCATAAGTTAAAAGGATTCATGCAATATTAATGTCCATCCCCTATAGCTCCCAGTGCATTATTTTCCACATTAGACCAGAGGAAACAAGGTATTAGTGTTCACAACACTGATATCTGGCAACAGAAGGAATTTAAATTATTGCTTCCCAGCCACCAGCAGGCTTTATGCACAACAGATCCTAGAACAGAGCAAGAGAACTGCACCTACAGAGCAGCTACTGCACTACCCACAAAAATTACTGGAGCAAAGGACAGGTCAGACCTCCATGCACAGACAAGCTCATCTGCATGGAAGAGCAAATTCCTCCCCAGCTGAGAGACCACAGTATCACACATTATCACAGTATGCTAGAGATTGGAAGGGACCGCAAAAGATCATCTAGTCCAATCCCCCTGCTGAGCAGGAACACCTAGATAATGTTACACAGGAATGTGTCCAGGTGGGTTTTGAATGTCTCCAGGGAAGGAGACTCCACAACCTCCCTGGGCAGCCTGTTCCAGTGTTCCGTCACCCTCACTGAGAAGAAGTTTCTTCTCAAGTTTAAGTGGAACCTCTTGTGTTCCAGTTTGTACCCATTACCCCTTGTCCTATCATTGTTTGCCACTGAGTAGAGCCTGGCTCCATCCTCGTGACACTCCCCTTTTATATATTTATATACACTAATAAGGTCACCCCTCAGTCTCCTCTTCTCCAAACTATAGAGACCCAGCTCCCTCAGTCTTTCCTCATAAGGGAGATGCTTCACTCCCTTAATCATCTTCGTTGCCCTGCGCTGGACTCTCTCCAGCAGCTCCCTGTCCTTCTTGAACTGAGGGGCCCAGAACTGGACACAATAATCCAGATGGGGTCTCACCAGGGCAGAGTAGAGGGGAAGGAGGACCTCTCTCGACCTACTAACCACCCCCCTTCTAATACACCCCAGGATGCCATTGGCCTTCTTGGCCACAAGGGCACAGTGTTGGCTCATGGTCATCCTGTCATCCACTAGGACCCCCAGGTCCCTCTCCCCTACACTGCTCTCTAACAGGTCGCTTCCCAACCTATACTGGAACCTGGGGTTGTTCCTGCCCAGATGCAGGACTCTACACTTTCCCTTGTTATATTTCATCAAGTTATTCCCTGCCCAACTCTCCAGCCTGTCCAGGTCTCGCTGGATGGCAGCACAGCCTTCTGGTGTGTCAGCCACTCCTCCCAGCTTAGTGTCATCAGCAAACTTGCTGATAGTACACTCAATTCCCTCATCTAAATCATTGATGAATATATTAAATAATATTGGTCCCAGTACTGACCCTTGAGGCACTCCACTAGTTACAGGCCTCCAACTAGACTCAGCCTCATAGACTACAACTCTCTGGCTTCTCTCCTTCAGCCAGTTCGCAGTCCACCTCACTACCTGATCATCCAGACCACACTTCCTCAATTTAGCTGTGAGGATGCTGTGGGAGACTATGTCAAATGCTTTGCTGAAGTCAAGGTAGACCACATCCACCGCTCTGCCATCATTCATCCACCGTGTTATTTCCTCATAAAAGGCTAAGAGATTGGTCAAACATGATTTCCCCCTGGTGAAGCCATGTTGACTGCCCCTCATGACCCTCTTATCCTTGATATGCCTTAAGATGGCACCAACGATAAGGTGTTCCATCACTTTCCCAGGGATGGAGGTGAGGCTGACCGGTCTATAGTTACCCGGGTCCTCCTTCTTGCCCTTTTTGAAGACTGGAGTGACATTTGCTTTCCTCCAGTCCTCAGGCACCTCTCCCGTTTCCCAAGACTTGGTAAAGATGATGGAGAGTGGTCTAGCGATGACTTCCGCCAGTTCCCTCAGCACCCGCGGGTGCATCCCACCTGGACCCATGGATTTATGGATGTCCAGATTGCTCAACTGGTCCCTAACCCATTCCTCATCGACTAAGGCAAACCGCTCCGTCGACCTGACTTCATCTAAGGTCTCAGGGGTACAGGGCTCTTCAGGACTGCCTGCAGCAGAGTAGACAGAGACAAAGAAGGCATTCAGTAACTCTGCCATCTCTGTATCTTCTGTCACCAGGGCACCCATCCCGTTCATCAGTGGGCCTACATTGCCTCTGGTGTTAATCTGCCATATATTTGAAAAAGCTCTTTTTGCTGTCCTTGACCCTTCTCGCCAGGTTTAATTCTAAGGAGGCCTTAGTCCTCCTAGCTGCCTTCCTACATCCTCTAGCAGCAGCCTTATATTCCTCCCAAGTGGCCAGCCCCTCCTTCCATGACCTGTAAACTCTCCTCTTCCACTTGAGCATACCCAGCAATTCCCTATTTAGCCATGCAGGTCTCTTGGCCCTCTTCCTTGACTTCCTACGTGTCGGGATGCTCCGATCTTGAGCGAGGAAGAAGCAATCCTTGAATGTCAACCAACTACTGTGGGCCCCTTTACCTTCAAGCAGCCTTGCCCATGGGATTTCCCCTAGCAATTGCTTGAAAAGGCCAAAGTTTGCCCTGCTAAAGTCCAGGGTTGCAATTCTACTTGGTATTCTACTAGTCCTACCACACAAGATCCTGAACTTCACCATCTCGTGGTCGCTGCAACCAAGGCAGCCCTCAACCCTTACTGCTTCAAGCAGATCCTCCTTGTTAGTGAGGATGAGATCCAGCAGCGCTCCTCTCCTGGTCGGCTCATCCACCATTTGCAGGAGGAAGTTATCATCCATACACTGGAGGAACCTCCTGGACTGCGGCTGGGTTGCCGAGTGGTCCTTCCAGCAAACATCAGGGAAGTTAAAATCCCCCATGACGACCACGGCCTGTGACTGTGAGGCCACTCTCAGCTGCCTGTAGAAGGCCTTGTCAACTTCCTCACCCTGATCCGGTGGTCTGTAACAGACACCTACAACAGTATCCCCCCTGCCAGCCTGCCCCTTAATTCTCACCCACAGACTCTCAACTCGCTCGTCATCTGTCCCTGGACAGAACTCGGTGCATTGTAGTTGCTCCCGTACATAAAGAGCGACCCCACCACCCCTCCTGGCTGGCCTGTCTTTCCTGAAAAGGACATAGCCCTCCATGACTATATTCCAGTCATGTGAGCTGTCCCACCACGTCTCTGTAATTGCCACCAGATCATAGTCTCCTGACTTAACACAGGTTTCCAACTCCTCCTGCTTATTTCCCATGCTGCGCGCTTTGGTGTACAGACATTCCAGGGAGCGAGCTGAGCACACCGATTTCACCCTAGGATTATAGGAGGCCTCCCAGTCTTCATTAATTCTGGAGCGCTGCCCCACTGGGGCAAGCCCAGCTACACCCCCATCCCCCTTCGAATCTAGTTTAAAGCTTTCCAAATGAGCCCTGCTAATTCGTGCCCCAGCATCCTTTTGCCTCTGTGAGACAAACCTTTCTCACTTGTCATTGTCCAGACTGGTGCCCTATAAAACCAGCTGTTATCAAAGAATCCAAAGCCCTGCCTGTAGCACCAGTCTCGAAGCCAATTGTTCATGAACTGAATCTTCCCATTCCTTCCCACATCATCAGTGAAAGATGGAAGGAGTGAAGAGAAGATCACTTGAGCTCCAGACTCTTTGACCATCCGCCCCAAGGCCCTGTAGTCTTTCTTCATCCCCCTCAGACTGCGGGAAGCAGCTTCCTCCCCACCTGTCTGGAAGACCAGCAGCGGGTAGTAGTCTGTCGGGTGCACCAGGGTGGGGAG